CAAGAAATTCTTCACTAAGATTTATTTTACTTTGTCAAGGAGGTTATACAATATCATAACGGTTAATACTGGCTTCAAACAGATCCAAACCGTTAGTTATCTTATTATTCATGTGTTTATCTGAGCTTGGATCGTCTAATTGACGTTCTGGTTAATATGTCAGAATGTTGTCATCAATGACATTGAATGAGCAAATTTTGACGTGCATAGACTCCGAGCAATTACTACTAGAGGGAGTCTTCCCCCCTTCCCCGCGCTAAATTTTGTTAGCAACATCTACTCCCCCCCGAGGGGGAAAATACCTCTTCTGTAATTGGCTTATTTAATCAGCGTTGCCAAGTTTGACAGTGCTAGTTCTGACACTTTCTGACACATATCAATTTCTTATTTGTATTTTACGGAAAATATTATTATTTATAACGTTGTAAGTGTTGTAAATGTATATTTAAGATTTATTCTCTCTAATAATATGGTCAAAACATCCTTTATGTGTAAAAGGCCTGTTGAAAATGCTTTTTCAAGATAATATCATAAGTAAGTACAGACACAACCTAATTATCAGAGGCGGTGCATTAGGCAATCACCTTTAATTTACAATTATACTTTCTTATTGAAACATTAAAATTAAGTGCAAGTAAACTCCAGCCAAGTTCGTCTTCATCCGTCTCATAATGATTATAGTAAAAGTTAATTACTTATTATTATTATTTTAATATCACATCTTTGTAAAGTTTATTGTTATTTTTTTAGGTTTTCTTTTCTTGATATGAGAAATAAATACATGGTTCCAAAATATAGGAATTCAACAAAGAATGTTCTGCAGAGCCCGGGCTGGCACATCAGAATCACGCGAGTGACATTTTTGTTTTGTCTTGACATCAAAATAATAATATCATTTATATTAAACATTTATTTAAATTTAACTAACAATAAATTAAATCTTTAAATTCAATAACAAATTTTGATCTCCGTTAACCTCCAATCACTCGAATCACATTCGGAGAAACATGTTCCACACTGAGGTGAACGCACCTCCTTCTGTTGACATTTGACAAGTCAAAGTCTTCAAGTGTCGCTTGTCACCACTGTCATGTGGAAACGGTTAAACAACTTGAACCAAAATGAAGAGAGAAATTTAAATTCGAAAATATTATATTAATAAAATTATGATTTAGCAAGTTGTAAATATCCCGAAATATATAATTTTGGGAGTGAGAATGACCAGGAACTTGTTGGATACGTTGTGGACAGTAGGTAGACTTTTTCATAATTATAATGTATATAAAATATATAAAAAAAACCTTCAGTTTTTTTACTTTGGCCTTCTGCGTTTTACTTTCCTCATATCAAATATTGTATTCTAGATTCAAATTTCAATATATCTTCCACAGTCACCCTCTAATTGTAAATTTCTTTAAATTTTAACTAATTTGTTAACCTTTTTTCAATTTTGTGAATAGTGAGGGTGGCATGATTCCTTAATTCCACACAAGCTAACTTGCTTCTGGAGATCAGATTTGATTTGTAAGGGCTTATCCCACACTCACTATTTCCAATACCAGTTTTTTGTCACTTTGTTTGTTTCTTGTAATTTTTAATTTGTTTAAACAATTGTATATATACTATTTTAACTTTTGACTTAAAAGTCTAATTCAGATTTTATAATATATTTTTTAAAATCTTTTTAAATTGTAAATTTACATCCACAATTTTTGTAGATGAGCACTGATGATGGCAAATAAGCCGAAAGCGCTTTGCATTGATTAATAAAAAAGTTTTGCACGAAATACAAGTTTTTCCTTTTGAATCTAAACTACGTGCACGCATCTGTCAACCTTTTTTGGTTATTTTAATATTCAACAAGTGACCACCTGAATTACTTTTTATGCTTATGAACATTTTTATTACAGACCTCAGGGGAGGAAAATATTAAAGAAAAATGCAATTTCGACGAAAGAAATATAATAATCCTGTCACTACTTCTACACTATATTCATCTGCTAATAAAATACTCAAACAGACTTAAGTTTCTTTCAAAAAGAATGTTTAAGGAAAAAAGGCATAGCCATTTTTTTGTTGACACTTTTTTTTAACTAATCTAAAAGACTAATTTTGTGTATTGTTTAAATTTTCATTTTTTGTACTTAATTTGTTTTAGGTTTAAACAAAATGAACTTCTAAGATATGCATAGAATATCCCAAAAGAGCTAAGGAAGGTTTTAAAATTCTTAAGAAAACTATTCAGAGCCAAAAACAAAATAGTCTTCCTGTCCAAAATATAAATAGGTATAAATATTTAGATATTATAAGTGATTTTTTATTCTATAATTAGAACATAATTTGCTTCTAAATCACTACCTAATGAACTATATTATATAGTACAAAACTAAACAAGAATATCACATTATTCATGTTTTTTTAATTTCCTTAAAACACATCCCAAAAAAATGTGAATATTTATTATTGGAGTTTACATCTTTATGCTAAAACAATACTAGAACAACTTAAATAATGTGGATTGTGACTATTTTGAGTTATGCAGATCATTATGATCTAAAAAAATGTTTGGTGCTATAGTCAGGTATAAAAACATTCATTTATTTAAACACAGTTGCAATATATATTTTATTTAGTTTTTAAGTTAAAACCTATTAGGACATCCAAATATGACTTTTTTCGTTTGATGTGAGATTAATTATTTTACATTTTTGTTTGTGAAATAGAATATATTAAGATGTCTTACTGTTTTTTCTGATTATCTAAAAAGTTAGAACAATATACAAAGACTGTTATAACAAAAAAGAGATATACCTTTACTTAAACACACAATTAGTCAGTTCAATTATACGATAATTTAAAGCAGAAATCCAGAAAACTTTAAAAATGTGTTTAAATGTGTTTTTACTATAACAAGGACATAATTATTAAAAAAACTTGGCACATTAACATTGACGATAGGTTTTTATAATATATATATTATATAAATCACAACAAACTACACAAAATGACATTAATAATTTAGCAATAAAAAAAGTTAAGTACAATGATGACATTAAAAGTTGAGTTTCTCGAAAAAAAAATTTTAAATTGTCTCAGTACCTACCTAGTGTTTTTCTAGCAAAATGATATATGAATGTGCATTGTGTCATATCTTATATTTTAGGAATAAAATGATATATTTTTTTGCAGGTTTCTGTTAACAACGATTCCAAGAATTTTTGAAAATTATTATTAAAACGGCCTTTGAAAATATAATTCTCAATTAAGAGCTTTTGATCTATCATTAAATTTTTATTCTCCATAAGGTTACAGCTTCCTAAGAAGAAAATTTACCATACCCAAAATATCAAAATTTTACCAACCAATTGATGGTTCCTACTGGTTTCCATAGGAAAATTCTCCCCGAAACTACTAAAAGAAAAGTGGCAGAGGCAACCGAAGAAGGCAAAAAAGTCTTTTGCAAAACAAAAACTAGAAATTTGTTTAAGAATGTAATTATTGTTTGAAGTTTTACTATTAATAATTTTTGATAATGATTTAAGATTATGAAGTTATGTTATGTATTTTACTCTTTGATAACCTATGTTTAAATTTTTATTAGGACCAAAATAAATTATAATTTTCATTTCAACTACAAAAACCCCTTATAATATTAAAAAGGGGAAAAACGTTAGATTAGTTATGTTCAGGAATAAACTCTTTAAACATTTATCTATTTAAAATGTGTTACTTTTAGAAGGTATGTTATTAACTTTCTATTTGTACTTGTATTAATTTATTTCATTTTATTATCTGTTGTATTTTCAAATTGATTTTGATATTAATCTTATCTATTTATATGTTTTTTATATTCACATATATGTTTTTTTCATTGAAACAAACGTTTATTAGCCTATTAAATATAATGAATTCATGTTGTTTTATCATATGCTTGTATGAATGATTACTTTTATTTCCTTTTAAAAATGAATTTCGAAACGGTGAGTGAGAATAAAAAATTAGACGAAAGTGACGATATTTACTGGAGCTTTCATCTACACGCTCCTTTTTCTAGCCATCTACACCTGAGCCAGCAAGATTCGTCTTCCCTCCATCCTTACATTCTCCAGATTTACAGAGAAATCGCCGTCCTCTTTTACATATCCAGACCTTCTTTGACGGGGGACTACATTATCAGCTTTATTTGTTAACCCGAACAATTTAAATGCATTCGTAATTGCTCATTCTCACCTCTTCTCTTGTAGATTCAGTACTCAGTTTTCTTATTTTTAGTTACGTTTGCACTGCTCTTTTATTTTCACAGCTTTAATTCTATAATGCTGTAACGCTACAATATGGATCCATTTTTGTGGTTTATACTATTTAATGTTATTCGTAAGTGACCAACCTATTATAATAATTAAAGATTATTATATTACAGACCTGAAGATGTTCCTGTAAGGCCGAAACTAGTCGCTACTGTATTTATTTATAATAAAATTGATTTTAAGATTTTACTCGTCAATTGAAAAAATTAGACCTTTACAGTGATTTTGTTTCATTTCATTAGACACATATAAGATGGTATTCATTTTAAAAATAGTAAAATTAGCAAATTTTTTAGTCTTTTTACAATTATAACGTTTAGACAATGTGTGTTTTTATAGATAAATGATACGCCACAAGAAGGATGTTTACCTTGCCCCTTGTGCCCGCTTCCTCACTTCTTTTACAGATATTGCTAACACAACAATCGCCTATAAACTCGTTTTCACGCTCCCTCTATTAGTAATTGCTCGGAGTGCATAGACGTCAACTGGAGTGCGTTTAGAAACCTTGCGCAGCGCGTCTGGACCCTATTCTAATGAATGTGGTTAGACGCGTTGTACAAGGTTTCTAAATGCACTCCAGGTTGCTAGCGGAAATTATAATTTTTCCAGAGGTTTGCGACATCCTAAATATGCCCTGGTTTCTATATATTAGATCATGACTACTAATGGTTATTTTGATATTCTTTGTAGGGGTCCAGGACCTTTTAAAAAAAATGTCACAGGACTGACATACTCAACTTTGTACTGGATATCCTCAATTTTACAACTAGCCTTATGTTTCTATACTGGTGCAGCTAAGATGATCTCACCGATGCAATGTGACCCGAAAGAGATGCTAGAGATGATCGAAAAATACAAAATAAGTTTCATTTTTATAAATCCAGTTATACTGAGACCAATACTATCTTTAAACAACATAGAAAAATATGATACATCGAGCCTACAATTCATCACGCTGGTTGGAACAGGTTTGAACGGAAATGAAATGGTGCAGCTGAGGAAAATATTTAAGCACACTATTATCAGTCAGGCGTATGGAGCCAGTGAAACGTTGACCAGTGGAACTTCCTTTAGTTTTACAGACCAACATTTGCTGAGCAAATTAGAATCGGTCGGGAAAGTATCTCCGAACTGTGAAATCAAAATTGTAAATCCGGAAAGTGGAACGATATTAGGTCCAAATGAATCAGGAGAAATCTATATTAAATCTCCATTTTCCTTCAGTGGTTATTGCAATATAGATTCAACAGACTATTTAGACAAAGACGGCTTTTTCAAAACTGGAGATCTAGGTTACTACGATGAAGATAAATGTTTTTACATTGTAGGTCGTCTTAAAGAGACATTCAAATATCGAACTTACCACATACCACCGAATTATCTTGAGTATATTCTTCAGGAACATCCAGACGTTTCGGAAGCGGGCGTGTTTGGAATACCCCATAGGACAGATGGACATCTTCCTGCTGCTTGTTTAACGTTAAAAGAAAACGCGACTACATCTGTTGATGATATTGAAGATTTTTATACGAAAAATGTTTCTGATTGGCATAAGCTTAGAGGAGGGATCAAGATTGTGGACAGTCTGCCTATGACGCCTACATGCAAGATACAAAGGAATAAGTTGTTGGAATTGTTTTTAAGAAGATGAACAAATTAAATTGATTATCTGTTATTTTGTACTCTAGAAAGTTTTATTTGATAAAAATCTTAAATTGTAATTTATAAAAGACAATAAAATTCACTCTGTGTATTCAAACATGCTGTATATTAAAAATATATGAAACTAAATAGGAGTTACAATATATTTTTATGAAAAATACAACTGTATGAAGTTTCACTACTGTCCTTGATACGCTTCTCATGGATATATTCAATTACGTTTAAACAAGACATGCGTATAGCGTATAACGAGGGACACTGCCAAAGTTCGCGGAAAATGTAAAGCAAAACACAAATTACGTTGTGTAAATCGGTTTATTGCTTCTCAAAAAATTCTTCTTTAAAATCTATACACTTTTGCATCCGATGAAACCAATCTTCAAAACAATTTTGCCATTCTGAGCGAGGTACCTTCAAAACAACTGATTTAAATGCTTCAACAGCCTCTTCAGGCGATGAAAAACGCTTGCCACGCATTTTATTTTTGATATGTCGAAATAGGAAGAAGTCATTGGGCGATAAATCAGACGAATATGGGCAATGAGTCATTAATTGGATGTTGTTACTGGTCAAAAAATCTACAGTTCGTCGTGCTGTGTGAACGCTTGCATTGTCATGATGAAGAATGATTCGCTGGTTTATGTTGTTCCTTCTGATTTCAACGATAACTTCCAGCAAACAAATTGAAGTATACCAATCAGAATTAACTGTCCTTCGATCCTCTAATGCAGTGGTCACCAACCTCTCAATATGTTGAGCTACTTTGTTAATTTTGGAATAAACAGCGAGCTACCCACACGGAAGCCACGTAACGCAACGTAAATGAAATAATCCACAGTTAATTTATCATTATATGTATTTATTTTACTATTTAACTGGTAATACATAATACATAGGTACTAATAATAAACTAATAACAAAATAACTAATATTACTAATACGTACTTGTTCATAGCTACATTCCTACCTACCAAACGAAGGTGTTTGAAAAATAAACACAAACTTTTATCCAGCCACAACGACATGTCACGTAAGATTTAAAAATAGTTAATAATAACAACAAAAAAGTAACGCACTATCATGAACATAAACAATGAAAAATAAAAAAGCAGGTTCAATGAGAAGGCTGACACTTTGCAGTATAATTTGATACAGCCATTCGAACACAATTATCCAAATGTTCATCTGTAAGTCGATTACGATATTTGTTCTTAATAAACTTCATATTGGAAAAAGAAGATTCACACAAATAGGTTGAACTGAATAATCTTTCACTTTCAAGGTAACACGGCATAGAACTGAATATTTGTCTTTACTTACAATAGGCCAGATACATTTGGTACTTGAGACTAACGATTTTAAGGCTAAATCATTTTGAAACTCAATTACTTCCATTTCTGTTGCAGCGATGTCTTCGCCAAAGTTCAGCATAACACAAGTTGCAAACTTCCATAAAGGGTGAAACAACAAACTACGCTACTAAAGCCATTTCGTTGAAATCCTTAAAACGATTTTTGAAGTTATTTTTCAGGGTAGAAATTATTTCTACATGATATTTGCTGTCATAGAGTTCTAATGGATTTTGAGATATTTTTTCTGAAAGAATAGGAAAATGCTTGGCATCGCTGTTAATTAGGTTTTGTTCCCAAAACTTCAGCTTTTTGATAAAAGCTTTTATATCAGAAATCATTTCCGCTAGTTCTTTGTCTCTCCCCTGAAGCTGCAAATTAAGTTCGTTTAATTTCTCTGTAATGTCCACGAGAAAACCAAAATCTCTAAGCCAGATTGAATTTTCTAGTTCCGGAGTCGGTTCATCGCGTTGTTTGAAAAATTGAACTATGCCAAATAGGACATCATTAAAACGTTTCAGCACCCGTCCTCTACTTAACCATCGGACTTCAGAGTGAAGGAGTAGGTCCCCGTATTGACAGTCAACTTCATCGGCCAAGGTTTTGAATAATCTTCTTTGTAACGCTTGAGCTCTAATCTTGTTCACAATTTTTACCACCAGTTTCATAACGTTGTATAGTTTCAGGAAATTTCCACATAATGCTTGCTGATGGATAATGCAGTGGTAACAGAGAAATTACGACATAACGCCACCAGACCCTTATCACAACCCACCATAGCTGGAGCGCCATCGGTTGTCAAGCCTACCATTTTCGATATTGGAATTTTCTCGGAAGAAATAATATTTTTTAAATGAGAAAACAACTCCTGTCCAGTAGTGTGTCCTTTCAGTGGAATAAAAAAACAAAAAGATCCGAATTCATTTGAAAAAGTTTTTCCTACACTTTATAAAAATAATTTTTAAAATTTTTTATCTAATCAAAAAATGTAATATTACAGCATTCTCCTCATCATGGCTACGATTATCGCAGCCCAAGAAATTAGAATCACGAGTCTGGAATCCAACCCTGGAATATTACCCTATAAATTAGGATATGCTAAATTACAATCCACATACCATTCTTTTATCCATTATTTTGATTTAGACCCTATCGAAACCGAACTTGTTAAAATAAATAATCAATTCGAAAATATAATTTTAACAATTGAAAATAAAAATGCGGCATTCACATCCGAACTTAAAAATAACATAAATTCAATCTCCTTTGAAATAAAACAATGCAAAGAAAAATTAAATTACCTTCATTCTAATAAGAGACTTAAAAGAGGAATCTTAAACGGTCTAGGTACAATATTTAAAAGTATTTCGGGAAACCTAGACGCCGAAGACGGCAAAAGATACGACGACGCTATTGTCTTACTAAATTCAAATCAAAAAGATATAGCAAATACACTAAATAAACAGATATCCCTAACTACTAAAATAATCGATGATTACAACAAAAGTCTATCTTTAATAAAGCAAAACGAAATACAAATGGCTCAAAAAATTAATGATCTTAATAACGAACTAGAAAAATTCGTAAACGACTTTTCCGGATATTTTTTAGCAATAAACGCCTTAGACCAGGTACATGCAGTTCTCAAAATTTTAAATGAAATCTTAAATAATTTAGAAAACTCAATAATATTTGCGAGATTAAAAACAGTTCACTATAGCATTTTAAAAATAGAAGATTTAGAATTTATCATAAATTTGCTATTAAAGTCATATTCAGAAAGTAACTTATTGTTCGGTGCCGATCCACAAAATTTTTATAAATATTATGAAGTTATTACAGTAGACTCTTATTATTCTAACAATCGGATAGTATTTGTGATTCACTTTCCTATAACCTATCCAGAAATATATTCTTACTTTCACCTCTATTCAATACCTACCCAAAATAACTCTATCCTTATCCCCTCCAAATCTTTTCTGGCAATACAAGGAAATAACTATGAGTACGAGGACGAAGAATGCAAAAATCTGAACTCATTATATTTTTGCACAAACATGAAATCTATTGCCAAAGCTAATGCAGATGATTGTATCCACCAAATATTACAATTGAATAATCAAGACTCTCCTGCATGTGAACTTACTCCAATCCAAATCAGTTCTGAGGTAATCGAACCAATCAATTCTGCCCACTATATTGCAGTATTTCCTCGAGAAACCAAAATCCAAATCAGCTGTGCAAAGTCAGATCTCGCAGTTTTAAAAGGTACCTATTTTATGGAAGTACCAAAGGGTTGCAGTTTCCAAACCCCGAAGAACAGATACTCAAATAACATCGACGTTATTCATGAACAGCCTTTACTTCTACCCGAAATTAAGATAAATAAAGTCAGTCAAAATCATTTCAGAAAAATCGATATTAATGAAATACCCCTCGACAAGATCCACCTATTGCAGAAGGAACAAAATCGAATTCGTCAAATAAGTCTTCAACCCCCTTCAAACAATACCCATCTGTGGTATACGCCACTGTGGACATTGGGTGTTGTTGCCCTCGTCATCATGTTTTTCAAGATTAGGCAATCGACGTCCAGAAATCAAAAATTGATAATACCTGCCACCCATCAAGCCACTTTCAATATCAATGCCGAAGAAGACGAATAACGACCCACACCCTGTATGGATCTCTCTGGGAAGGGAGGAATTATATCACAGAAACTGCCGAGATGCCCAGAAATTCTAAGAATCCCACCAGCCGGCAGATCAAGTTTCTTTTATCAGCATACATGTGTTAACAATGATTATTTTTTACATTTTTCAGTCTGATGTTAGCTTTCATATAATAAAGACATAATTATAACTCTGTTTAAATAAAAAATATTTTTTTTAAAAAACGATTTTTCAAATCGTGTTATATTTTTTGCAGCAGTTGCGAAGAAACAAGCAATCATTCTTTTCGAAACGCTTCGTGAACGCACCACTTTTGTGGGTTTAGGTTCATTTTGGAACACCCATACAGTCGATTGCTGTTTAGTTTCAGGCTCATTTGAATACATCCAAGATTCGTCACCTGTTATGTACCGAATTTGAACGAACCCCTTCGAATTTGTTTAGCATTTCCTTGCACCACTTGACACGTGTCTGTTTTTGTTCTTCTTTCAAATTGTGTGGGATCCAACGACTGCAAAGCTTCCTGACATGCAAATGATCGTGCAAAATCGTGTGTATTTGTTTCGCTGAAATGCCTAAGGATGCCTCTATCTCACGATAGGTCACATGCCGATCTGACAAAATCATTTCGCGCACAGCATCAATATTTTTCGCTATAACAGAGGTACATGGACGACCTTCGCGAAGATCGTCATCAAACGTTGGTCTTCCACGCTTGAATTCTGCGAACCATTTGTAAACCATAGTTTTGGATGGTGCTTCATCCCCAAATAATGAACTAATGTAACGATTATTAATTATATTCTTATATTTTGTCAATATATTTGTAACAATCATCTATATTTATTATATTCTTATGTATCTATTTATAAAAATTTCTATAATTTATGTCTAACTACTGATTGGAATGGTCTTTCTGAAGATATTGACTCTAAATTTTTAGACTTCTTAAATAAAATAATTATGTGTTTCAATACAGCTTTCCCCCTTCGCCCCATTAAAACTAAATGTCATAAATCTTGGACAACTAAAGGAATAAGAACATCATCTAAAAATATGAGGTCACTCATGTATATTAAAAAGTACACAGATAATCCCCTAATATTAAACTATA